TCTGTAAAAAAAGATATCAATAAGTCTGTATATATATATATATATATATATAGAAAGAGAAGACAATGTTTAGTGTGTCACTGTGGTGCACGAACATGTGTCAACTTACACAATGCGGGCAGCTCCATTTGCCCTCGGGTGCCTTGTCCATGTCTGGGTCCAGGCAAACCATGTGGTATGCTCGAGGACAAGTATCGCAGAGGATGATCTCCCCTCCTTGCTGGCAAACCTCACAGTAGTCCTGGTGGTCCGTTTCATAGCCATCAACAACACCTGCTGTTACTTCCTCCTCACCTTTAAAAAAAAAAAAAAAAACACAAAATATTAAATATCCCACTGGTTTAAAAGCTAAAATTCCAGGCAGATATAAATTAATGCAGATCTCTATTCATTAATACAAAGTTTTTTTATGCAAAAGTTAAAAGTATCTAAATTTGATTTTTATCAGCCTTTTGCATTTCACTATACAGCAAAGCACAGACCAGGAATGGAAAAAAACCTTCACAGGGAGCCAATTAAATGTGCTGCATGTGCCAACGAGAAGCTCATCAGTCTGCTTCTCCTTCACTGTCAAATCACAGGCAAAACCTGCAAGTGTTACTGATTTGCAGAGAAAAGGGAGGTCTCCTGTCCTGCCAGAAAGGGCTGCGCTGTGTAAGATGGGCAGAAATACAAATCTTGGGACGAAGAGCTCCCTCATATGTGCATTTAGCCATTTGCTTGCAGTTATATATATTTGCAGTCCACAAGCCCGACACTTACCCTTCTTCTTCTTCTTGCTGGCTCTAAGTTTCTTGCGGCTTCGGCTGCTCTTGCTAGTGGATCCGTCAGATACAGACATGCTGTTCATGCTGCCCTCATCATAGTCCGAGTCCACATCAAGGTCCTCCTCTTCGCTCTGCAGAGACCAGATAATGGAAAAAAAGGTTCAGATCTCAGGCCGACAGTAAATGAAGACACAAATGACCAGTGGCAGTGGACACTTACAGAGGAGCGTTTGCGTTTCGTACCAAAGCCCCCAAGCTTGATCTTCAGAGGGGCAACCTTCTTGGCTTTGGTCTTTTTATTTTCTGGGGGACGCATAACCTTTGGTTTCTTCCTGGCGTTGGGTCCTAAAAAACATGAGCATTTGGTATTTATTATTTTTTGTGGGGGAGTGGGGGAGTGGGGGAAGCCAACCCCAGTCATACATAACCACATTAAAGACTTTCTACGATAAGTGTCAAGAGCAAATAGGACAACCCCAACAGTGCCAGTGTCTGCAGAATTCAGGTCTTCTTACTATTGCTTATTCTAACTAAGAACCAGTTCGTATGTTTAAACTGCTGCCACACATCGGTTGGATTATACTCTTCTCACAATTCCTGCAGACACATACTCCCCTAAACCGGAAAAAACTGTTTGCCCGAACCTTCCTGTTTAGGTATCAGAGAGGCAGGAAAAAGCACAACTGCATACTCTAAAATGTCTGTCAGCTTATCATCAAAACTGCAACTAGACAAGATCTTCTAACCGGTCTGATTATATTCTCTGGAGAGCAGCAGTGCAGGACTGTCAGAGTTCCCCTATAGACAGTTTGGTGCCCAATCTGGTCATAAATGGCTCTTTACCCACAGCAAGATGGCCATGGTCACCTTTACGAGTGCTTGGCTGACCAATTAAACAAGGCGTGGGCAAACTATGGCCCTCCAGCTGTGGTGACACTACAAATCCCATTATGCATCTGCTTCTGGGAGTCATCCCCGTGATCTTGTAATGCCTCATGGGATTTGCAGGGATGGAGGGCCTGAGTTTGCCAACCCGTGCACAACAAATTATGGCCATTGAGAGATTTCACTTAATTTGTTTACGCATCTTCTAGATAGCAAAGATAGTCATTGCAGCAGTGTGATAATCTTCTACAGAGTACTAACTTTATTCAGGCTGAAATAAACATTTTCAGCTTTACAAATCCTGCCAGACTAAAAGTGTCATAAGGGGCAGATGTGGACACTTGCAACAAGTTTCATCTTTAAGTGATATTAAACCTTTAGCTTTTTTTATGCATGGGAGGCCCATATGCCCATGTGGATGCAGATCGTTATTTTTTTTAAGGTTTCAATTCCTTGTTCTCTAGTGGGTCCCTGCATCAGGCTTCCTCCCACCCCCTACACGAGTGTCTCCATCAGCCCAGCTGCTGCTGTGGAGACACCCGTGCATGTTCCTGGCCGTGCTCACAAGTAGCGGTGTGCGTCCATAGATACACAAGAGTGTGGCAAGCTACGCCCCCTCCTCCCCTCCCAAGAGTTTGATGGCATAAGCAGCCTAGGGCTCCTCTGCCCTCAGTGTCCTCCCCTACAAACAGGAAGTTCGGGGAACGGAGGATCACTTTAGGGACTGCCAGCAGTGTGCACAGGTAAGTGTGTGGGGGACAAAAAGGTAATGGGCTTTTTTTTTAACTTCATGCAGAGAATGCATGAAGGTAAAAACAACCAGCATATACTACTACTACAACAACGCTGCAGACAGCATCATCACCAAAGGATCCCTGATGTACAACTTGTAATTCGTCATAGCATCATTTAGATGCCAAAAGGTCTGTTAGTTTGAGCACTCTGCAGAAGTACAGTAGAAACTATAGGCCGCACTCCCCATCCAAAGGCCTAGCTTACCCTGAAGGAATATTTCGGTGCTGTATGGTTATAGGCAATTTGAAATCACTAGATCACTCTGTAGCAAGAGATCCAGCTCAGCCTAGCACATCAACCATTGCAAATCGCAAACGACAGTGTCAAAACGTAACCGATAGATTTTGCTAGAACGTTGACTCAACTGCCTAACTGCTAGTCTCATGCCTGTGATGGTGAAGGCATAGAAAACTAGAGCAAAATCTTTTGTAGATGCCAGAGGCGATGCGTCAGCACTAAGTGATTCACCACACTGATTATTCACCTAAGGAAGACTATGCAGAGGTGACTTTAAAGTGACATATGATAAAGTCTGTCAATAGCATTAACACAGCGGCACCCCCAGTAACAGCTCCATTACCCGTCAGCAGTTGGTCCTGCTAGGGAGTTATTTTTCAACCAACTTTAACAGACCAAAAATGTCCAGTACAAGTAAGAGGACTGAGACAAACCATTTAACATTAACAGGGGGATGCCGGGTTTGGGGAACACATTGTGTGCCGCTGTCGGCACCCTTTCGGCCGGCATCCCTTGATCAGCTGATCGAAGGAGCTGGCTGGAAAAGCTTTGTACGATCAATGCCGGCAGCCAATGAGCTGCAGGCTCTGTTTGGGTATTCTGGACAGTGGCTGGTACCGCTGACAGAATACAATGCAAACAGTGGGATTCCTCGATTGACAAATGTCAGTAGTGATGAAGGAATCTGTTCTATTTTATTTTTTTGTTCTGCCCGCGGATTGAACAAAATAGAGCAGTGTATGGCCACCCCAAATCTACTAGTCCATCTAACACTACCCTCTTCACAAGTGGGCAATGCTGCTGTCCGAGGGTGCCTACATTGCCTCCTGATACTGTGGAGGAGTGAGTGTAGTCACCCTAGGACAGGAAGGGTGTTACTGGCCAGATCACCATGCGAGTATAAAAGGAGGGGGGAAGCCTTTATAAAAATGCAACTATTGCAGCCCTCACATCTAATATATTGTTGTTTATTAGGCTGTACTATATTAAAGGTTTATTATAGGGTTTAGATATACTTTAATGGCTGTTCTGCCACTTTGTAAACAGTATACACAAAAAGCTGCAAAACACAAGAAGTATCTGGGCTGCTGAACTCCTGTGCACAAGTGACCCTGTGATCTGCATACTTGCCTTTTCCTTCCTTAGTCTTGGCTTTGCGCAATGGAACTTCAGCTGGAGGTGGTGGCGGCGGTGGTGGCGGCGGTGGAGGAGCAACCACCTCTGTAGAGGCTACCATGCTGGCGACCACAGCCTCGGCGGCGGCAGCTGCAGCAGCCACTGATGCCCCAGAGCTGCCCTTTAATGGATTGTTGGTGCTGAATTCCCTCCACTTGGCTCCAAGAACCATCATCATCTTAGAAACTGCAATTTTAGGGTTCTTTGCAGCAATCAGAGGCCTATATGAAAAGACATGGCGGAGATCAGAATGGTATGCAATGGAATGCCAAAAGTAAAATAAACCTGTGGAGAAGAACAAAAAAAAAACCAAGCTAAAAGCTTACCTGACAAACTGACTGAAAGCCTTGTAGTTAGTCAATGTCCTGTAATCATCCTCCGTGAACATATGATCAATGTCCTCCATTCCCCAGTCTTCCAAAAGTTGTGATGAAGTCTTTGGTTCCTGCGCGGCATAAACAGAACCACGTATTTTTTAGGAACACAGAAGGTAAAAAGGCAAAACATCCCAGCACTGCTAGTACACACCGAAGCCAGTTTAAATGCTACCTGTTCCCAGATGCAATGGATGTGCCATTGTATCGCAAGACCAACATGTCGCAGAAAGCAGGCTATCCATTCACTAGGAATTGAAGACTAAACAGTTCATCAGGCCAATAAAACAAACACTGGTTCAGTTTTGTGTAGCACCAATAGATCGGTGGTTTAAGCAAGTCCTCTGACCCAGACCTTTAAAAGCGTTTCTCCCCCCCCCCCATTTCATTAAGACGCTGGAACAGCTTTCCAAAACAGAAAATTGTAGGCCTTCCCCAGTCTAACAAAAATATGCTTATTGTGTGTCCCCGTTGGGAGAGGTTTTCCTCAGCTCTGGGAAGTGAGGGGAGACCTCCCAAATACAGTAAAAGACCGCAATAAACCCTGACAAGGGCAACAACTCTCCTCCGCTTTATCCTAATCAATTTTTTGTAGCTAGAGTTGGGCTTTGTTTTGTTCAAGTAGCAAACCAGCCACGAGAAGGGATCTTTATTTCACCGGCCTGATCCGATGATCAGCATTGCAACGGTTTCTTAGCCACCGTGCCTTCAACTATGGTGGCACAGTCATAGAATCCAATGAAAGACACAGTTCCAACATGGTTTTATATTTGAGCAGATGCATAAAGATCCAAAAACCACAGAAAATGAAGGAAAACCATTTTGTACTCTCCGGCCCACTGACCTTGGAATCGTCGTCATCATCATCTTCATCCTCCTCACGTGGTTTCACCTTCTGTTTCTTTTCTTTCTTCTGCGACAGCTTCTTTTTCTTCTTCTTTCCAGGGGTATAATCACTGCCCTCGCTGTCTGAGCGAAGGGTTCCCAGATCATCATCCCCAAAATCATTTCCTTCCCCTGAGCTGTCCTCCAGATCCTGCAAAAAAAACAGTATATGGTATTTCTCATGGCAAACTTAACATTTGTGCTTTAATTCCAACACACACAGTCAACCTATGTATGCTTAAATTGTCAGAACTGCTTCTCTCTCGCTACAACTCAATGAGAATGGAAAAGCAGCTCAAGAAATCAACTGCAGGTCAAATGTAAAAAAAAAAAACAAAACTGAAACTGCACACAGCATTTGCCTACCTACACAAGCCCTTCTTCTATCTGTTATCTGTCCATAGCGCATGCCAGGCCCCACCAGCCTCCCCGCAGCGCATGCCAGGCCCCACTACATTCCAGTTCAGTCCACACCACTCTCCCCCACAGCGCATCCCAGTCCACACCAATAGCTACCTGCTTTCACCTGGCCCACCTCTGCCACAAGAATACCATGTGCCACCTTAGGTACAGTTCAACTACAACACACTCACCTCCTTTTTCTGACGCTTTCCTTTAGGGGTTTTGGATTCCCGTGCCTTTTTGGGTTTCTTCTTTTTCTTTACTTTAGGCGTTTCAACTTCCGAGAGGTCATCATCCAAATCATCGTCATCTGGAAGAGAAGAACAATGAAGCTCAAAACAATTTGTAGTGAAATGTGAGCAAAATGTTCCAAAGAAATGTGTCCATAGCACCCCATAAAAGGATCTATTTTTCACGTCTTCAGAAAAAAGGATAAAACTTGATGGTTAGTTAAGGAAAGCAATTATAAATAGGATTAGGACAAATATGGCTACTTTGTGAACATGTAACTGCAAAAAAATTACGTGAAAAGTTTAACTTTCCCATTACACCGATGCTGGATAAATCCCAGGAGCCAGCAGCCAATGCTCCTTAAAAATGACAGCTGCTGCCCAACTTTTGAGGTTATCTAGGCTTCCAAAAAAAAAAATCCTCCTGGATTACATATTGATTTGTCCACCCCTGCTGAGCGAAGGTGTAGATGTATACACAAGTTTTAAAATGTATTGCAACAAAAGAACTTTGATGTTTTATACACCAGAATTTGCTCACTAAACTCTTAAATACTTGACTGCACCAGTAACAAGTCAATGTGGTCAGCCCTTGGTAACTACTGCAGCCTGTGCTATGGCATCCTCTAGCTGTGGCACTGGGTAAGCATTTAATCCTCTAGGTGGATCTTCCCAGGTGATTACTTGTTTGGAGTGGGGTATAACCTAGGGGATCCTAGAGCAAGCTTTCATTTGCATCCGATATTACCCAGTTCCTGGCTTCCACTCCCAGGTGATTACTTGTTTGGAGTGGGGTATAACCTAGGGGATCCTAGAGCAAGCTTTCATTTGCATCCGATATTACCCAGTTCCTGGCTTCCACTCCCAGTCTGTATATTCGCCCCATGATACTAGATTTTATCCAAACATATTGGTAGGGACCAATATGAACGCTGGAATGTAGGCTATCAGACAGAGCTACATGAGAATTGGGTAGCAGTGTGCATGTTATTCTGTTTTTAAAATCTGGACAGGAAGTCAGTTTTTTAAAGTTAAAAAACAAACAAAAAAAAAAAAAATCCCCGCTGCGCATACCAGCCTCCCCGCTGCGCATCCCAGGCCCCACCAGCCTCCCCGCAGCACATCCCAGGCCCCACTACATTCCAGTTCAGTCCACACCACTCTCCCCCACAGCGCATCCCAGTCCACACCAATAGCTACCTGCTTTCACCTGGCCCACCTCTGCCACAAGAATACCATGTGCCACCTTAGGTACAGTTCAACTACAACACACTCACCTCCTTTTTCTGACGCTTTCCTTTAGGGGTTTTGGATTCCCGTGCCTTTTTGGGTTTCTTCTTTTTCTTTACTTTAGGCGTTTCAACTTCCGAGAGGTCATCATCCAAATCATCGTCATCTGGAAGAGAAGAACAATGAAGCTCAAAACAATTTGTAGTGAAATGTGAGCAAAATGTTCCAAAGAAATGTGTCCATAGCACCCCATAAAAGGATCTATTTTTCACGTCTTCAGAAAAAAGGATAAAACTTGATGGTTAGTTAAGGAAAGCAATTATAAATAGGATTAGGACAAATATGGCTACTTTGTGAACATGTAACTGCAAAAAAATTACGTGAAAAGTTTAACTTTCCCATTACACCGATGCTGGATAAATCCCAGGAGCCAGCAGCCAATGCTCCTTAAAAATGACAGCTGCTGCCCAACTTTTGAGGTTATCTAGGCTTCCAAAAAAAAAAATCCTCCTGGATTACATATTGATTTGTCCACCCCTGCTGAGCGAAGGTGTAGATGTATACACAAGTTTTAAAATGTATTGCAACAAAAGAACTTTGATGTTTTATACACCAGAATTTGCTCACTAAACTCTTAAATACTTGACTGCACCAGTAACAAGTCAATGTGGTCAGCCCTTGGTAACTACTGCAGCCTGTGCTATGGCATCCTCTAGCTGTGGCACTGGGTAAGCATTTAATCCTCTAGGTGGATCTTCCCAGGTGATTACTTGTTTGGAGTGGGGTATAACCTAGGGGATCCTAGAGCAAGCTTTCATTTGCATCCGATATTACCCAGTTCCTGGCTTCCACTCCCAGGTGATTACTTGTTTGGAGTGGGGTATAACCTAGGGGATCCTAGAGCAAGCTTTCATTTGCATCCGATATTACCCAGTTCCTGGCTTCCACTCCCAGTCTGTATATTCGCCCCATGATACTAGATTTTATCCAAACATATTGGTAGGGACCAATATGAACGCTGGAATGTAGGCTATCAGACAGAGCTACATGAGAATTGGGTAGCAGTGTGCATGTTATTCTGTTTTTAAAATCTGGACAGGAAGTCAGTTTTTTAAAGTTAAAAAACAAACAAAAAAAAAAAAAAACACCACACCTTGATAACATTCTGTGTATGATAATGCTGTGAGTGCAACACATCACAGTGATGAGGAATGTGTAGCAGGACACGGTAGGAGGGGTAAGTGGGGGTGTTAAACAATAGACAAGCACCAGATCATTTCT